TTGTGAATTTGTCTTTTGTGACAGGAGCTTCCAGAAAGTACAGACATACATAGAAACCAAGCAATAAAATGGAATATAACACCATAATAATAATATTTACACTGCCATTCAAAACTTTGGGATCAGTAAGATTTTTAATGTTTTTTAATGGAATCTCATGTGCTCATCAAGGCTGTATTTATGAACTGAACCCACGACCTCTTGTGCTGCTAATGCAATGCTCTACCACTGAGCCACAGGAACATTATTTGATTTAACATTTATTTGATCAAAAATACAGAAAAACACTGTAATATTGTGAGATATTATTTCAATTTCTAATATTGGTTTTCTGTTTTAATATACTTTAAACTGTAATGTATTTTATTTCTGTGATGCGCAGCTGTATTTTCAGCATCATTACTCCAGTCTTCAGTGTCACATGATCTTCAGAAATCAGTCTAATATGCTGCTTTACAGTTTTTCTCGATTGCTAGCACACAAATCATGAAGCAATTCACCATTTTCTCACAACTATAAACACAAAATCAAAAAGTTTAGTCAAAAACATGTTCTCTTTTGTCAGACTCAAACTTTGGCCTCAGATGACACACAAACCTGTCAAATACACACACTACTTCACTGCCTAGAGAACACTAGTGCGATCAACTCAAAACACTGTTACTAAAACCTGCTTTTGGGAAACAGGAATCCTTTTGCTAGTCAGTCACTGTTACAGTATACGACATAAATAGAGGGGTGCAGATACAGTAAAATTCAGCAATAAACCTTAAGAAAAGTTTACTGTCATGAGATCTTGAAAAGCACTACAAGAGAAAAGTTCAAAGACCAAAAAACTGAATATACAGTAAACACACATTGGAACATACTGTCAGTTACTTTACAGAAATTAATAAATAAATAAATAATTACAGTAAGTTCATTCATTCATTCATTCAGCATCCTCTGCCAAATTGCATTACAGTATTGGTATTATCCTTATTAGTTACAGCAGTTTCTAAGTCTTCTGACAAAAGACTTCTCTGCCAGCCCTAGACAGTCATCTCTCAGTTCTGCACAAATATTGTACATGTAAAGACTACTTGGCTACAAATCAATTCAACAGTAATGAGTTTGAGGGTGTACTGTACAACATGTGCTAGAGTATTTACTGTACATAGAATAATGAAAGCTCTCTCTTCTGAAGTACTGCTGGTATGTTCTGTAATTATATTGTATGTGTAAGTAGCATTGAAACCCTGTAGATGAGCTGCAGGCTAACTTCCCTCATGATCAGTCCATCCAGAAGAACATGCTCAACTATAGTGCTTTGTATTTCATCAGGAACAAATTACCTTTGACCTCATCACCTTCATTTTTATTTTCCCTTCCTCTTCCTCTTTTGTCTTCCACTACCAGGATTAATTTTCCTAAACACATAATCACTTGTGCTCATGTGCGTATCATCCTGAGATTTTGAGCTGTGTGTCATCAGTTTTGCTACTGAATGTTCACACAGGGATAAATGTGCGCTGTTTGAGTTCATTTTTTGATGCTTGAGTTAATTATATTGTGTGTTTGTGTTTTCTGAATGAGAACATGGTTAAACCTGTGCAAAATGATGGCGTTTTTGTGTAGAGTTTTGCAGAAAGCACTGAGATAATAAATGCTGTTTTTTTTATTTTATATTCATAAAAGAATCCTGAAAAAAGTATCACAGGTTCCAAAAAACATGAAGCAGCAACAGTTTCCAGCACTGATAATAAATCAGCATATTAGAATGATTTCTGAAGATCATGTGACACTGAAGACTGCAGTAATGATGCTGAAAATACAGCTTTGATCATAGAAATAAATTACAGTTTAGTATATTTTCACATAGAAAACAGTTATTTTAAATTGCAATAATATTTCACAAAATAACAGGGTTTATTTCTGTATTTTTGATCAAATAAATACAGCCTTAATGAGCACAAGAAACTTCGGTAAAAAATATTAAAACTCTTACTGATCCCAAACTTTTGAACGGTAGTGTATATATATAAAAATGACTAATGTAATATAATAATCAAAATACAATATATCACAATAATTAAATATATTAATATAAATATAATAAAATAATTAAATATAATAATGTGAATATAATACAAATCATATAAATATAACAAAAATAAATATAATACAATAAAGCAATAAAAACATAGAAAGAAATATACAATAGACAAGCATATTACTTACACTTGCTATGTTTGTATTTAGATGTGTTTTTTATACATATTTTATCATCTGTAATTAAATGCGCCTTATCATAGTTTACATTTACATTACATTTACATTTTCAAGTAGTAGGATGATTGGAAAGGATGAGTTTAGAGACTTCTGCCTCAGAGAGTGGAGAGAAGGATGAAAACGAGTGTATGTTTGCTGGTAAGATGTGCTTGACAGATTGTGGTGTGGCAAATTGTGCACTGATGGTTTTAATTTTATTAATGAAGAATGTGGCAAAGTCATCAGCTGTTAAGAGTTGATGAAGGAGGGGGAGGAGGAGGACAAAGGAGGGAGGTAAATGTTTTAAAGAGCATGTGAGAGTTAGGCGAATTGTTAATTTTGTTATGATAGTATGTCCTTTTAGCAGTGGAGGCATTAGCAGAGAAGGAAGAGAGGAGTGACTCAACATAGTTGAACATTATATTCATAACATATTCTTTCTTATTTTCAAAACTTAAAATTTAAAGTGGTAAATTAGGCTGAAATGACAATTAGGACCAATAACTGATCCCAGAGAAGTTTCTTTAGGGTTTCTACTCTATTTCAGTTTCTACTCTCTCATTTTCCGTGTGTTAAATTAGTCATGAATTTGTCCAGGAATGATGTTCTTGAGTCCAGCCTGCAGAGGTCAGCGGTTTGTGCTGTGTTAAGACGAGCTGTATTTTCCCTAAAATCTCTGAGCGTCTCTCCTCTGCTTCAGCGCACCGGCGGCATCATGAAAGCACCTCGGTCAGATGTTAACATCAAAGCTTCGCCATTTTATCATCTTGTTTACAAAGGAACAAACATTTCCTTTGAAACGCGGGCCAAGGAGATGTTACGCAACACGCCTTACATAAGACAGATCCTCCGCAGACGTCATTGTGCTGCTAATTTAATCTTATCCTGGACGGGAATTCAAAAGCCCTTCAGTGACATCTGAACAAACAAACCTTCACAAACACACACGACCGAAGACACAGAACGCAGAGCTTGTTAGCGGCTGAATAAACACACACCAGTGACAGGCTTTACTTGATTCAGCTCAGACTCCATCGCCTGAAACAGTGTTTGAGAGAGCGAGAACTTCTTCTTATTTATTTATCACATTTGATTGTTTTATTACTAAATTTTAAAAACTAAATATTTGAAACTTTTATCACATTGCTTATATAAATTAATTCACATCACTGCAGCAATTTAAGAATATTAAACATTATTATTATTAATTATTTTTAATGGTTGGTATGGTTTTAACATTATTATTCATAATTAATATATGAATAAATTATTACTTATGTTTTTGTATTCATTCTCAATTAATGTGCTATTATTCATTATTATTGTTTATTAAACATTGGTGTATTTTATCTTATTGCTTATTTATAATAATGCAGCATGTTGGAGAAAAAGTTTATGTAAAAAAATTGTTTTGCCGTTTTTTTTGTTGCAGATATTATTAATTAATAAAAATAATTTCACATATCTATTTTTATCATTTATTTAAAAAATGGTGCAATATTGCTTAGATTAATTCATTTATATTCATGTGGCAAGTTTGAAAAATTGTTTATTATAACAATTATAATTACAGTTATTAATAATTGATAATATTTTAATTTTATAATAGTCAAGTCAAGTCACCATTATTTATATAGTGCTTTTAACAATGCACACACTCAAAGCAGCTTTTTAGTATAAAAAAGGGAAATAGTGTGCCGTTCTCCTCTGGCCAGACAAACCAGCAATTTAATTCTAGGCTGATCATAGGTCAGATTATAATATTAATATTCCATTGACAATTATTCCATTGACAATTATTATTTATCAAAGATCTGTGTGTTTTGTCATATTGTCCCTTTCTCTTCTTATACTTGCTGTAACGCTCAGCCTCTTGTTGCTCTAATAACTGCATATTGGTTTGATGAATCACACTAATCAATTCTAAAATCAAACTATGCTGATGTGGATGGAGTTTCCCTGGCTTCATCGCTGTACACATGTGCTGGATGTCTGGGGTTAGATGTGATGTGATGTAAGATCTCTTCAGAGGAAGGGTCACACTAACACGAGGAAACTGTGTGACACCTGAACAAACAATCAGAGACAGAGCAGCCCTGGCCACACTCTTCCAGACAGACTGAGCTCCCGGGTTCACACTTAAACACAATAGCATGGCTCCTCTGGCAGGGGTTCGGGGAGCAGGGGTCGATGCTCCTGCAGGAGCCGAACACAAACTGGTTGTCCTTGAAGCCGACGCAGCGCGCCACACAAGCACTGGGATATGTGCGTCCGTTGCAAGTGCAAACCGGCACGAAATGATCGGCGCAGCTGCAGGGAAGCCCTGAGAGAGAAACCACACCAAACACAACTAGTCACAAACACCCAACTGATTTACAAATTACTGTTTTACTCATTTAAAAAGGTCTTGAAAAATTGTTCTGTTTATTCAATAATAAAATATAGCTGTTTTATTGATCTACTTCAATATTTTATTTATTTATTTTATTTATTTACATTATTCAGTTTTTGCCTGTTATTTTTTTATTTTTTTAGTAGAAATTACTGTGAAGTCTAACATATATGGAAGTGCTTTTCCACCAAAAAATATATATAAATAAATAAAATGATGAAAATGGTAATTGCAACTTTTTATCTCACAATTCAGACTTTTTTCAGAACTGCAAACGTCAGAATTACAGGAAGTGAACATGGAATAGTGAGGTTACAGTCAGCATTCTGAGTTCATAGGAGCTTTTTTCTTCAAAACTGGGAGGAAAAAGTCACAAATACCTAAAAAGTAGAATTTTTTTCTTGCAATTCTGAGTTTATATCTCATAATTACTTTTTTTGACTCATCCACAGAATAAAAAATAAAAGAAACGGTAACTGCAACTTTTTATCTTTTATTTTTTCAGAACTGCAAAGGTCAGAACTGTAAGCTGCAAACTCAAGATTTGCAAGAGAAAAGTCTGAATTCTGAATTCATATCTCGCAACTCAGAATTCTGACTTTTCTCTTGCATTTTCGAGGATATATCTTAAAATTCTGAATTTATATCTCACATTTCTTCTTGCCGTTCTGTGTTTATATCTTGCAATTCTGTTATGAAAAGTTGCAATTACCTAAAAAGTCATAAGTGTGAGATGAAAAGTGAGGGTTATTGTTCATTGTTTACTGGTGTGGATGAAACGGCTCATAAACAGCAGTGGAGCTGATGGTGAAGCACAGACCTGTGAAGAGCCGTCTGTCCTCGTCCGAGCCGTCGGAGCGCACACACTGACGAGACGAGCAGATGCTTTCACCGGCGAAGCAGGAGCAGGGCTGACAGTCGAGCCGGAACGACACACCGTGACCTGCATATGAGACCATCACGAACAAAACATTCACTCCTGCCGGATATACAGCGCTGGACAAAATCATTACAACACTAGTATTCTCAGCAGATAAAATGGTTTGAAGTCAGTTATTTCTATCTTTTGCTGTAGTGTGTCAGAAGGAAATATCAGTTTACATTTCCAAACAATTTGCCATTAATTGTAATAATCCAGTGAGATTTTTGTTTGCACAAGGAGTCTGACAGCAGCCAGTGCTCCACACAAAGATCTGATTTCACCATCATCCAGTCTGTGTGGAATGACATAAAGAAACAGAACAAACTGAGACAGACTCAATCCAGAAGAACTGATGCTTCGAGAAACCTCCAGCAAAGCTACGGTGCTGTTAAATGTTTGAGGCACTTGTGTAAAAATGCTGTAAAATGAGGATGCTGTCAACAATAGTGTCATAAATATATTTTCTTTATCAATTAACTTCTATTAACTAAATGAAATTAGTGTGAGCATCTTTGTGTTTAAAGCAGCTTTTGCCCTCGGTGCACTTGAGCAGAGTTTCTCAGGAGCTTCGCAGGAGGTTTCTTGAAGCGTCTCGGAGACATTATATATAGATCAGTGCATACTATACGTTTAGTTTCCGTAAGAACAGATCTCTGAGATCAGACGCGACTATAAAGCACAGCACATCTGTCTCCACTGAGCCCAAGCTGGCGAGCGCTTTAGAAGCAGAGTAAAAATAAACATGAAAGAAAAAGCAATAAACTCATTCAGGTTCAAACCGACAGGCATACAAACCAGCTGCTTACTAAAACACATACTAATCAAAACTAGAGAAAAAAAGGAAAATATGTTCACTAATGATATGCATTCGTTCTAATTCTAAAAGGTTTTATTTCATATTTTTTCTATCTTTACATTTACATTTAGTCATTTAGCAGATGCTTTTATCCAAAGTTATCTTAAGTTAGCTTAACACAGTACACGCGTAATTATGTAATAAATAAAAAGAAAACAGTTAGTAAATCAATAGAGTGCAAGTCTAAAAGGGACAAGTTTTTTTTTTTATTGATATATTTCCTGTTTGATTGTTTGTGTTGTTTAAAACATACTGGAAACCATTCTAAATATCCGTCCACTGCGAATACAGATTTCTGTTGTTATTAATGCATCATTCCACCAATAGATGGCAGCGTCCACTTAAAAAAAACATCCATTGGCTCAGTATTTTGCCTTATTTGTCTTTATGTTAAGCTAGTGATAATAGCTCATTAAATAAAAGCAAACAAATGCAGGTGTCTGTTACACACGGATACTATGTGAAATACACATCATTCAAGCAGCAAGTGCTGGAAATGAGCTGCTATTGATTGCTGCATGCAGATATGAGCTCTCACTCTTGCGCTGTCCTCCCGAGAGGCAGGTCTTGCTGGTGTCGAAGCAGGGCATTTCAGCGCAGTTCTCCAGACGGCCGCTCTGACCGCAGGTGCACACCTCGTAACAGCCCACCTGACCGCTCCTGGTGGGCACCTGGATCCGGCTGTCCAGCAGCACCAGGAACTCCGATGCTTCCCCCAGCTTACAGCCTTAGAGACACGAGGAAAACACAATCCTAATGCACTTCCCTGCCATTCTCTGACATACAGGTGTCCTGCTCTTACTGTGCACAGCATGCATACTGCTGTGAGTACTGTGTGTCAGTGTCCTGCATGCATACAACACACGGATGTGCAGTTTACAACAGAGAACACCACGCCGGTATCCCACAATGCAGTTCACTCGACCTTCATTTTCTGGTGTCATGAAGCTACTTCTTGACTCATTATTTCATCGGAGTATCAAGAGTTAAAACATTTCAAACAAAAAACCTGAAACCAAACAAAAGTTTTACAATCTACTTTTTGACTCATAATTTCATTGGACTATCAAAAGTTAAAACATTTCGAAATGAAACACAAAGCAAAAGTTTTAAACTACTTTTTAACATATTATTTGACCAGAAACTACCAAAAGGTAAGACGTTTTAAGACAAAACATAACTTTTAAAATCTACTTTTTGATTCGTTACTTGATTGGAAAATATCAAAAGTTAAAGACGTTTTAAAACAAAACAAAACAAACAAAAAACTTTTAAAATCTACTTTTTGACTCATTTGATTAGAAACTGTCTAAAAAGTTTTAAAACACCTTTAAAAAAACATTTTGACTCATTATTTGATTGAACTATCAAAGCTATCAATAAAATGTTTTAAAACCAAAACACAGCAAAACCTAAACAAAATGAAATTAAGCAAGCAAAACTGAGGTGTTCATTGGACTCAATGAATTAAACATGCAATACAGTAAAGTCATGTGACAACACAATAGTATATTACAACCTAAAATGTTTATGATTGCATACTAATTCACATGAGGTGATTTCAGACACACTGACGGCAGTCACCTCAATGTCAAAATGTGGCCCTATTGTCCTGAATTAACTGTACTTTAAGTAAGCAGCACTCTGTTACTCCACTCTGAACACACCCTCCTAATAAATGCACGTTTGATCAGCTCACAAGTGAAGATGTTTAGGAGTGTTTACCAGGAACGCAGAAGTAGGGCAGGCAGTCGTGTCCGGGGTGGCAGCCCTTTCTGTTGACTTCACACAGGTGACTGCTGGGACAGGGGCTGGGGTTGCAGGGGTGGATGACTTCTTCAATGCTGTTTTCAAAGGGACTGGGAGCTGTGGGAAGCATGAGGACATCAGTGCACAGCTTATATCGATCAGACTCAGATCTGAGCGCACACTCACTGAGGTATCTGTGGAGAGGGATGCAGCGCTCCGGGTCGTCCGTGGCCGACAGCAGGTCACAGATGCGCTCGGGCGTCTGTCCCTCGAGAAAGCGCTTGCCATCGCCACACTGCGTCAGGATATCCACACAGTCCGACCTGAGGACACACAGCAGACAATCATCATCATCCTCGGTTCTATCCTCATTTATAATGCAGTTCCAATCTGAAGCTAGTGTTCTTTTGATGGTCATGTATTGCTGTGCCTATGTAATAAACTGGTGCTTTTATATTGCGGTACTGATGGTAAAGTTGTGTAAATGTTATGATAAGGTTGCTATAACGTTCCTCTAATGCCAATGTATTGTCAGTTTTAATGTAAAGCAAACCTGAGGGTTTAGTCTTCATTTAAGGGGCTGTCTATGCAAGCCGGTTCATGCAACATAAAAAAAATGATGGTAATTATGACTTTTTATCTCGCACTTTGGCCTTTTTTTTTGTTGCAATTTTGAGATATAAACAGAATTGTGAGATATAAACTCAGATATGAACGCAGAATTGTGAAAAATAAAGTCAGAATTGCAAGATATAAACTTGAGATTGCAAGACAAAAAGTCAGAATTGTAAGATAAAAAGTCACAATTAGCTTTTTTACATTTTTTATTCTGTGGTGGGATAAAAAAACAAAACAGTTGCTCAGAAATTCTCAGAATTCTGAGAAAAAAAATCAGAATTGTTATCTAAACTCACTACTGTATGAATACTGTATGAAATCAGAATCCAAATTATGAAAACATGTCCAAAAACTTGCAGCTCACTTTTCTATATTTTTATCTGTGATGGATATCTGCTATTCTGCCAGTGTTAATACATTGTCTCTCCATATTAATGTGATGTTGCGTCAGTGTTCATGAAATGTTTGTTTTTATGAAATTCTAAAACATCAAGACAATTCCAGAATGAAAACTTAAAAGCATCGTGATGCATCGCCCGCCAGCTGTGTGTGAATCTACAGGAATATTCTGGACGTTCATGCAAGGGTCCGGCGGCGGAGCTGTGTTGTTGTAAAGCCATGTGTCGGAGGAGCAGAGCTGGCTGCTGTGAAACTAATGTGACCCGTGGCTCAGACGGACGGATGAAAGCCTGTTTCCTGTTTCCTGTTTCCTGTTTAGCGCACAGATCGCTGCTCCTCTCGACTGTCCACATGCAGCGTCTCAGGAGGCGTCAAGAGCTTCTTATTTCTCATTCACTCACACTGACAGAAACATCTGTGGTGTTTTGTTTAGCAGCACATTGTAAGACACTTCACTGGCACACGACACACGACACTAATGCCATCAGTCCAATATCACCAACAACAAACAAAACACAGAACAACAAAAGTACACAAACATACACATAACTAAACATTCTTAAAGATATACAGTATATATACCTTGTATTTTATTTGTATATTTTTCATTTTAATTTTAGTTAAACTTTTTAGTAATTTTAGTTGGGGTTTTTTTTGCACTTTTTAGTCGTTTTTGTTTTGTTTACATATGTCTATATTTTTTTATGAATTTTTAGTTAATTTCTAATTTGAGTTATTTTAGTACATCAAGTTAAACTAAATGAAAATGAGAAAGCTTTCAGAAACTGTCACATGTAAAGATTTTGTGTGCAAGCATCTGAAAAAAACTGTAATACATAAAAATAAAAAAAACATTACATTAGTAAGAATATAATGACTTCTGAAAATAAATGTAAATTATTGTGGGATATTTTATTTATTGTCATAAAATGCATTTACAAAAGAAAAAGTACAGGCTTGTTTAGATGATTTTGTGTGTTTTGCTACAGCAGATGATGAAGACGAGGATGAAGGCTGACCTGCAGATGACGCTTCCTCTGGACTTGCTGTAGCAGGGTTTGATCTGCAGCGCACAGGCCACGGTCTTCCACATCTCCGGCTGGCACCTGCTGATGTCCAGCACAGGGATGTTCATGAAGGGCATCTTGATGGTTCCGTTGGACCAGAGTCTGAAGTCGTTCATGGCGCCCTGGTCTGACTGAACGTTACAGCTGCGAAACAGCTCCGTCGGCCTGAGAACACAAAAACAGCGAGGCGAGACCATGATTTACAACAGAGCAACAGCAGACAAAACCTGCAAGACAGCAGATGATGCTAGAGACACTGCAGGCATTAAAACAAGCTCTGTTTCTAATTTAAAGCAGACTCGAGTTGCTTTGTGGAATTGCCTTCTTATTGCATCCCAGAAGGCCATTGTTCACTAGCAGCCGCGTCCCGACAAAGCTTTGGGAAGAGGGACTTCCTCAGGAAACCTGAAGCCGAGAGCAGCGTTTAATCTTTCTAACGATCGGCTGTTTTATAGAGCTCAGTGTGGGACGTGGAGCTCAGGTTCTGCGTGTGGTTAGAAGCTGATTCCTGGTCATTTGCAGCTTTATTGTTTGGGTGTGGTGCTGATGGGCTTAACCAAAACCAAAAACACTCTTTACTGGCTTTATATCAACCTTCCATTCTTCAAAGAACGTTCCACTAAAATATCGGGCAGCACAACTGTTTTCAACATTGATAACAATCAGAAATGTTAATATAATATAAAGTCCCAGCTAACAGGGAATGTTCTCAGAACTTTGTCTTAATGTTCTGGCGAGTTTCTCTCAAAGTTATAAGCAAATGCTCTTTTAGTAATGTTCATTTACAGTTTTTTCAGCTGCTTACACACATTTTCAAAACTTTGCCTCTTTTTTTTTTCAAAACTTTACACAAAGATCCAAGAATTGCACACAAAATGCAAAATGCCTCTCATCTCTTGCAGAATGAAGCACTGCACTCAAAATATCACAAACACGTCTCAAAAGCAAACATTTGCAAACACCTTTGCCATAATATTAATTCCTGATAGATTTGTGTGTGTTGCATAGAGAATTGTGTTGTGTTTTGCAAAAGGTGTTTTATGAAATTGAAAACCTAGTCAAAGGCTGAGAATTAGTGTATGGTTTTGTAGATTTTGGTGTGTGCTTCTGCTGTTTGAGTGTCAGCTTTCAGAAACTGTGTGACAAGTAAAGATTTTGTGTGGTCTTTAATAACACTATCAAAACATTACCACAAAAAAATGTGGAATATTTATATATCTTTCATTTAATTTTTCATAACCATTTTAGTTGAATGTCCATCTAACGTTTTTAAATGTTACTACTTGTTTCATAACATTCTCATAATGTTTCAGAACAGTGTGTGTGTGTGTGTGTGAGTGAGTGTGTGTGTGCTATGACAGAGGGTCAGTGTGAGTTTAAGTGTCTCAGGTCAGTCAAACTCTGTTTACTCAGTATTGAAAGGTTCTTTTCTTTCATACATTTGTCAGAATCTCAGCCACCAGCCGTAATTGGATTCAAAAGTCATGAAAACCCCTGCAAAGCCCCTCAGGAGTCTGCACATCGACCGTGAGCCTCATGTGGATGCCATGCCATTTCTTCATCTAAGCAGGCTTGTTATGACACTTCCACAAACTCTTGGAGTAAGTCACACTCACTGTTTCACAGGCTCGAATCTCTCTTCCCTCAAACGTTTGAGAGGACTCATGGGATTGAGTGTAACCATGTAGCCGTGGTGGGAAACCAGTGGTCCTATCATGGAGCTCAATGCCTGTTTGACCTGAAAACAATGCTGGACTACTTCTGCCATCATAAATCATGCTGTCTATATCTGTAACCCACAGAGAAAACACACAGGCCAGAGAGAAACCCAACAATATGCCTGCTGGATATTCATTTTTCCATGTAACACAGACCTCGTGTTCAGTTACATAATAATAGCATGCAAACTTATGAACCCTGTGAACCCCTGTCTACTTTCAAAGAGCATAACAGTATCACAGTTGGTATAGCTGGATTTTGAGGATATGTGAATTAATTATATGCTTAACTTGTACAACAGTTCAATAAACAAGAAGTTAAAATTGAGTAACATACATTTCAGTCACAATATTAGTAACTTCACTTTTGATCCACAATGAAAAGAGACATCGAAACAAAAGCATCTTACACAGCATAGCAGTGTTTTCTTCCTGAATGAACTAATGCTTTTGAACTAGTGCTGTCAACTGCTACAAAAACATAAGTAATTATTGCATATTTTTCTGAAATTAATCATGATTAATCACGATTAATCCCACCTTACATTAAAGTTTTTAAATATACTTTTAAATTTCAATAATTTCACATTCAAGCTTCAAATTAATGTACAAACAACATAAAGACAGTATATCTGTTTAATGGCATCTTTTTTTATGACTGAAGGCCAGTACTGATACCAATACTACTGATGTCTCTATGAAATTGTTTTTCCCCCTAATATTTAACCATTGACTAGCCATTCAACATTACAGTATAATCGAGAACTATCAATTTTAACATTTATTAGACTTTAAAAAATAAGTTCTAATTTAAGTGAACTTAAAACAATCTCCACAATCTTCACAAATTGAATAAAGTTATCAAACACTAAATTCTAAATTAAATATAGATGAATCCTTAAAGTTATAAAAGTTATTGATTTTTTTCTTTTTTCTTTTTCCTTTAATTAACAGACATCACAGCAGCTGGTTATTAGGTTATTTGGCTGCTATTTCTTTAAGAGCTGCTGCTGCTGAACATGACGCGGATCTGACACGCATCATATTTTCTCTCAACTCTCTTCACCTTTTCTGACCCACTTCAGGTCTTAAAGTCTCTAGTAATGAGCTGACGAGTTAAATCGGGTGTGATGAGTGAGACAGTGCTGGACTGCTCCAGAACAGTTTTGAAAACCATTTCAGAGACATATTCTTAAATGTGACTCATATATAACATATTACATCCATGCACAGTTTTAAGGCAGCTTTAATTGCCTTTTTTAGTAACTTTATGACTTAACTGACAACGACATTGCATGCACGTAGTTTCATTCGCTCTTTGATATGAAAAGATACAGGCTACAGCGCGCGGCAGCACGCACTACGAGCACAGTACCGTTTCCACGCTCGTTTGACTCGCGCCTGGCGACGAAGTGAAGCTGGAGCGCACGTCTGAAACGTCTCCCATTTGATGGGTTCGTAAAGACGTTCTGTGACTAAATAAATGCACTTCTTGTCAAGAAAAAGTGCAGTTGTGAGTGGGGTGGCCAACCCGAGCCCCACCCCTGCATTAATTGCGTTAAATATTTTTAACGCATTAAACTAAAAACATTTTAGCGTTAACGCGCTAATATTGACAATGTTCCTGAATCTATCAAGTAAATGATTCAATGACTCACTCATGAAGTCAGTCAACTGTTCCTGAATCTGTTGAGTAAATGATTCAATGACTCACTCATGAAGTCAGTCAACTGTTCCTGAATCTGTTGAGTAAATGATTCAATGACTCACTCATAGAGTCACTCAACTGTTCCTGAATCTGTTGAGTAAATGATTCAATGACTCACTGCAGTGTTGTTATTGTTAACTAAAATGACTAAAAATCATTTTCATTAATTGAAATAAATTTGAAATAAAATAAAAAAATGCTAGTGCTAAAAATGCTAGAAAAACATAAATAACTTCAACAAAAGCTATAAATGTTGCCTTGGCAACTAACTGAAATAACATAAGTTGAAATACTAAATTTACTAAAACTAAAACTGAAATGAAAAAAGCTAAATAGAAATAAAACAACAACAAAACGCAAATGTACTTAAACTCAACAAAATTATTACAATTTAAACTAAATGAAAACTGAAATTATATAAATAAAAACTTATTCAAAATATTAATAAACACTACAATAGTACATAAACAATACTAAAATAACTCTGACTCACTCAAAGACAGTTCACTTGTTTTGTTCCTGAATGAATCAGCTATATGAACAATTCAAATGATTCACTTGTTGTTTATAGTGACTTGTCGCCATCTACTGGCTGATCAATGTAACTTGCAGAAAGAGTCACTAAAAATTGCCCACCTCTAATGCACAGACGGACAGACAGAAGAAGTGGAACGTCCTGGTGCTCTTAGACTGTATTTCAGCACTCTTGGTACCAATCAGATTCGAGGACTAATGGGAGCTAATGCTTGTATAAGCAGATTAACAGTAAGAAAGTGTTTCTAACCTGTTGTTGAAGTTGGTGCAGTAGCTGAGGTCTTTGCAGCCTAACTGGCACGGCTCCCTGACGTCGGCCAAGCAGGTGATGAGGTCCATCTCAGCCGGGTTGTATTCACAATGCTGGTCGAACTCCTGCCACGTCTGAGTGCCCCAGTTGGTGCTGATCTCCAAGCACATGTTCCTAACAAACAGTGAGGATATGAACACATTCAGTCTCAGAGCGACGCCGTTAGCCTTCTGACGGCTCGGGGGCGTCACAGTGGCTTGGTGGTTAGCACTGCTGTCTCACAGCAAGAAGGTCCCCGGTTCGAGCCCTGGCAGGGACTGCCTTTCTGTGTGGAGTTTGCATGTTCTCCCTGAGTGCTCCGGTTTCCTCCCACAGCCCAAAGACATGCAGGTTAGGTGAATTGTAGCCATTCATGCTGGAATGGTGTTAAGAAGAAAACAAACAAACAGAAGGCTCAGTGCTGACCTGCAGCTGGATGTGTTGGCCTTAAAGCAGCAGTGCAGTTTGGCGTAATCCATCTTGGCGATCGGGGGCGATTCGGGGTCACTTATGGTGGGCGGGTGTGCGCTACCCAAGAAGCACTGCCACAGCGGGTCCTGCGGGAGCGGCTGACTGCCACACTCACTGATCAGACCCTCCATGATCTCCTGCTCGGTGCTCATGGTGCGAAGAATACGCTTACAGGCCGTCTGACAGTGAGCCTCCTCCGCCCGGTCACAGCAGTACAAACCTGAACACACACAGACACACGGCATTCTGGATAAGTGAGTCACTTCCCCAATCAGTTTCAGTGAATCGATTCAAAACCTGACACCGTTCATGTGTAGAAAGCGTGCACTGATTATAGTCAACTACATTTGACTAGGTTCTAGATTGTAGTTAATCTACATGATAGTTGAGTAAATGATTCAACGACTCACTCTAGTGTTGGTCCTGTTAAATAAAACTAAAACGATTAAAAAAAATTTTCATTAGTTGATATAAAGTTAAAATAACAATAGAAATATCGCCTTGGCAACTAACTTGAAATATATATTGAATAATGTGGTAATTTTATATTGTGTGAACATTGATTGAAAGCAGTCCTAACTCTCATGGTTCCGTAAATGATTCCTCACTTTAGTATATAACAGATTTATTGTTTTATTTTTGTGTTTTTGCATGTGTAAATATAAACTGACCGTTAACAATGGCTGGCACACATCTAATGGCGTGCCTCAGATGATCACATGATCTGTCCTTGTTTTTTCATATATGTAGTAATTTGTTTGTACTCTGTACAGCACTTTGGATCGATTTATATTGTGTTTAAATGCGCTTTATAAATAAATGTTTGTTGTTGCACAATTACAAACTAAGTTAAAAACATGATCATTAGTTGGACTGCAAGATAATTAAAACAAAAATCTTTAATGGAATACACAGAACAATAGACTGTCTCAAAGAGATGAACCTAATTTTTCACATCCCAATTTGCATACTAGATCTACACATATTTGATCAAAAATACAGTAAATGTGAATATGTGTTAAACTGTAATGTATTTCTGTTATGCGCAGCTGTATTTTCAGCATCATTACTCCAGTCTTCAGTGTCACATGATCTTCAGAAATCATTCTAATATGCTGATTTGCTGCTCAAGAAACATTTCTGATTATTATCAATGTTGAAAACAGTCGTGCTGCTCGATATTTTTGTGGAAACTGATTTTTCAGGATTCACAGATGAATAGAAAGTTCAAAAGAACAGCATTTATTTGAAATATAAACCTTTTGAAACATTATAAATGTCTTTACTGTCACCTTTGATCAATTGAATGAGTCCTTGATGAATACAATTGTTTTTTTTTGTTGTTTTTTCTTACATTATATTTAGAATGAAAAGTATGCAAATGGGATGCAGCCACAGCTGATTGACTAGCTGATTGATTTTTTTTAAAGTTGCAAATAGATGCAGATTATTAACATACAATGTCATGTTTAAGTCAATGTGTTTCTTGCAATTTCTGTGTAATTATTAGTGAAATGAGTAGTTTGTGGGTGCACGTACTGTCGATGGGGCTCCGGATGGGGTAGGATTTGGTGTAGTTGGCCACACAGCCGATGAGCTGCGGACTGATGCTCTGGCAGTACTCTTTGACCGCGTTGATTTGGGAGACGGTCGGCGACGAGTCTGTGCGGAAGATGGCCTGACAGTATTCACGGCAGTTTGTGTGTCTCCCTGCATAACTGCAGCATACTGAGCCCACTGGACACACACACACACACACACACACACACACACACACGCTGAGCCATCACCACACACTGATCTCATCATTTCTACATCTGATCATGCAGTCTGCCGCTGTTTAATAAAGGCAGTCTGCAGTATGTTTGCTCTACTAATGCACACAAATAAGTGCTTCATTCAGTCCTGAGCTCAGCGAGTGCAGGTTAAAGGTCGTGACCTTGCCTCCCAGGCACAGAAACAACTCTATCTCATTTCCTTCTCGTCCTCAAACAGGAAAGTCAGTCTCTGAGGACTGAATCACAGAAATGAGGTACAGACGGACTGATAACCAAAGACCTTGTCATGCAGCTTTGCTTACTTTCATTTTTGGTGATACAGCTGTAGAGTGGTTTCTGCAAGAGACAAATACAATTCATTACAATATTGCGATATAGTTTATGAAACAGTGTTTCTGTCTCTAAAATTCACCAAAAAGTGCTTGTTCTTTTCACAAAGACACAAAAACCTTCTATTATATTTACCATTATTTTAATGACCTTTAATTATTATTTACTGTTTTTTAATTGTTATGTTATTATTATTATTTGATTTGATTTCTCAGACAAAGCTGTCATATATTTTGTACAGTGGAGTAAGATTGACTACTTGTATTAAAACTGTATTTTTTTGTTTATGCACTGTCCCTTTAAAACAAATCCTTTTGACTCCAGCTTTTCAAACTTCAGATAATTATTTCTGAATCCAAGTACTAAGTACGCTACTGTCGGGGTCAGTAAGATTTTTTAAAAGAAATTAATACCTAAAGACATTTAATGTAAAGACAAAGACATGTATAATGTTACAGTAGATTTCTATTTTAAATAAATGCTGTTCCTTCTGAACTTTCTATTCATCTGTGAATCCTGAAAAATCAAATGCATCACAGTTCCCACAAAAATATTGTGCAGCACAACTGTTTTCAACATTGATAATAATCAGAAATGTTTCTTGAGCAGCAAATCAGCATATTAGAATGATTTCTGAAGATCATGTGACACTGAAGACTGGAGTAATGATGCTGAAAATACAGCTTTGATCACAGAAATAAATTACATTTTAACAGAGATTCACATAGAAAACAGCTGTTTTACATTGTAATAATATTTCATAATCTTTACTGTGTTTGATCAAATAAATGCAGCCTCGGTGAGCAGAAGAGACTTCTTTCAGAAATATGAATAAATCTTGCTGACCCCGTGCATGAATGGTAGTGTGCTAATAAAACTAAGGCACATTTTATCTTTAAAACCTAAAGGCTGATGCTAGTTTATTTCTGACAGCAGCTCTGAGCAAAGCAAGCATCAGAAACATCCATTGTAATGCTATATAAAGTCTTGGATTCTTTCGGCTGCAGTCGAGTCGAGCAGCGCTGAAGTATGCGTAAGAAAAGCAAGGCACACGATGAAAGAGCTGAAGTTGTTGTGAGAGCGATCCAAAGCAAACGTTGTGCCGATGGTCTGCGTGTTTGTCTGGATCTCAAGAGCCGTACGGACTACAGTCTGACCGATGGACAACAGCATCAGCTCTACAGCATTTCTATCGGGGATCATTACTCTTTTATAACACTCAGCCAGCAGAATTACAGATTTATTGCGCTGTAATGTGGCGACAGCATGTCCAGTTAGAGGGAAACGATATTTTTCCATTGCTCAACACTAACGAAACAACCTCATAAAGAGGTTTGGGCCTGTGCTAGAAACCAGGCTTTAAATGAATAAACACAAATAAAGCTTGAGTCTCGTTTCAGACTGCAGAGCCGCCAGACAAACAAACAGAGAAGTGTCCAGGACTCTGATGAAGGACAGAGACCTCCCAGAGTCTGCCTGCTTTCATCTCAACATCTCAACCGGAGCAAGAGTCTCTGTGAAGGTCACTGTGTGTTAAACTGGATTCACAGCGTTTCTGAAGCCACTGGCCCAACGCTGCGGGGCTGAGGACGGTTGTCAGGGAATTGTTATGTGGTTGCTAAGGTGTCTGAAGTATATTTTCCATACTGACCCAGCACCAGCTCTATGATATTGACTCGGGTCATCAGTCTAATCCAGTCTTATTATTGTTAACTAAAACTATTAAAAATGGACATACAGCTGCAATAAAGTCAAATATAAATATCAGATGAAAAACTAATAAATAAATAAATTAGATAAAAACTAATTAAAGAAATAAAAGAAATATAAAAATAATAATAAATACTGCAAATAATACTAACAACACTAGTATGATCACTAAACCCTAATTTGGTGTTCCTGGTCAAAAATTACAAATTTCTTGTTATGCTATAATATCACCAAATCTTGGATTCAATCTTTTTATCAACTTGTTTTCTTTCATTTGGCACAGGTTTCGTGTTCCTTTAGGAACTGATTGATTGCAGGCCTCATTGATCTGAGCTTAAACCTCAAACATCGGCAAAATAATCCAAAATAATGTTAGTTTGTTTCACTTTTTGAGGTGCATAAGCTCAGATCAATAATTCCTACAATTAATTAGTGGCAAGAATGCAGCATAATGTTAACCAAAAACACCACAAGTATAACAGAATAGGGGAGAAAAGTCTAAAAAATGACCGGAACACAACATGAGGGTTAAAGAAACAGGTTATTCACACCGGACAAGTTACGTGGCGTGATTTGTTGTATTATTGGAACAAACATGTTCTTAATCTGTACTTTATGAAAGCATGCTTCTACCTCGAAGAACGGAAATAAAAGCATTTGTGACAATCTCACATCTGTGACTTTTCTTCATAATAGCAAATATCTCTCACAATCCGCATTCTGAATTTCTCACAGTTGTGACTTTCTATTTCACAAAAAAAAGTCAAATTTATTTCAAACTTTCTCGTAATTACCACAATGGCTTATTTTTTACTCTTGAAGTGGAAACAGGCTTCCAAAACATCGACATTTGCAAACTCTATGAAGGAAAATAAAGGTAAACTCCCACCTCTGTGTCTTTCTTGCATACTTTAGCGATGTCATTTTTAGACGACGCCTGAACAGAAAGCAGAAAAACACGCATCTAAGAATCACAGGTGAGCCGATGAGCTTACAGACTTCTCTACATGTTTATATAGATTATATAAGATCTGTTCATTGACCTGTTTGCAGTCCCTGCGGCATTCAGCGGAGATGGCCAGCTCACAGCAGCCCAAACCCACCCATCCGTCTGACTTCTTTGATGCTCCTGGAAATGTTCAGAATCACAGTGAGCTTTACAGTGGATCTAATGCATAACCATACATGACACACTGATGAGTCTCAAAACAACACAGCATTCATATTGCATGCAGACGTGCTTTGAATGTGGAGCGTTTGGCTTGGGTTCTTTATGAGCTGCAGCTCAACGCTCTGGACGGGGTTTTAATGGCCATGCAAGGTGTAGCTTGACTGATGTGAAGTGTGATATTTGTGCATCTGGGAGGCATTATGTCTTCAGAGACTCTAAATCCTCTCTTGTTCTTTTAAGGCTGGTACAGGTGTGTTCTGCAGATGGCTCTAAACGTCTCCATCTGTGTTCACGTACCCGGCAATGTGTTGTTGATGCAGATCCAAAGTTCACTCTGCGAAGCGAAAAGGAGATGTTTAGCACGACAACAACTCAGAATACATCATCTACTCGCTCTCATGTGCTTCCAAACCTGAGGATTCTTCTTTGGAATCCAGAAGAAGTTATTTAGCAGGTCATTATTTACTGAAAATCTCATTTCACGCAACACGAGGGAGCTGCTGATGACTGTGTTCAGGTTCAAAAGAACAGATTTAACATGTGAGACTCAAAATGCAATTTAAAGCAAGAAAAAAAAACTGTTTTATTAAATAAAATAACTTTTGAATATTTATGCATTAAATAAAAAAAAAATTATGATTCTGCACTGCTTTAGGTCACTATTTACATAAGCAAATTTGTGCATTGAGCACTTTTTACTCAAATTGTTATGCTGGAATTATTTATACTGTGTAAAAAAGAAGCAAAACATATTAAATAAGAAAAAAAAAAATACAGTTTGGGGTTGGGATGATTTTTTATTGTTTCTGAAAGAAGTCTCTTCTGCTCACCGAGGCTGCATTTATTTGATCGCAAATACAGTAAAAACAGTGAAATATTATTGCAATTTCAAAAGGCAGTTTTCTATGTGAATCTCTGTTAAACTGTAATGTATTTCTGTGATGCGCAGCTGTATTTTCAGCATCATTACTCCAGTCTTCAGTGTCACATGATCTTCAGAAATCATTCTAATATGCTGATTTGCTGCTCAAGAAACTTGTTGGAAACATTCATATTTTTGTGGAACCCATGGCACGTTTTATTTTTCAGGATTCACAAATGAATAGAAAGTTCAAAAGAGCAGCATTTATTAAAAATAGAAATCTTTTCTAAGATTATAAATGTCTTCACTGGCACTTTTGATCAATTTAATGCAACTTTGATGAATAAAAGTATTAATTTATTTAAAAAAAAAATTATTTGAACAGTAGTGTAAACATTTTCAGACATCTGGACATCATGGTTTGAGCAACACAAAATACACAATAGAATGTGTGAAGCATCTCAAATGTATTTTCACTGAAACCGAATGATAAAAGCAGTCTTATATAACGGTCTGGTTATAAAGGACCAGTATGAAAGCAGCCTGTGTACAAAGATCCCTTCATGAGAAGCGTCTCTGGTATCAGTGGAGCTCGTATTATTGGCAGCGGAGAGCCTCCTAATATGACTCAACTTTAATTAAAAGTAGATGCAGATGAGCCACAGAATGCTTTACTGAGCCACAACCTCCTCCTCATCCACACGCTTTGACCAGATCATCAAACATCGTCTGAGATTCACATTCTCTGGCGTATGAAAAAACACACCCGGCAAAAAGATGCAGCCTCATTTGAACGAAGCACAAACAACAATGTGGTTTTGATGCGTTAGACTCAAAAAAACACATTTGATTCGGACATTAAAATGCTTTCGAACACATTTCAAATGCTTCCAAACTCCATTTGCATCCATTTTCTGTGAATCAGCGCAGGACGCCGGTCCAAAGCAAACAGGCCCGGGGCTTAATTAGAGGCTGGATGTAATTGCATGTTGCTGCTTTGAAAGAGGGTGGAGGCATCTGTCCAGCCTTCATTACTGGCACGCAGGTAAAACCACAGCAGCAGACCACGAGGGAGGAACAGGAAGTGGCAGCGCTCTCGGTTTAAGACTTCCTGTGCTGCAGCTGTAATGTAAACACAGATCTTACCAGAGACTCGGGGCAGTAACTGGGCAAACGCAGGAGAAGGTGCTTCAGACGCGATTCACTCCTGATGGTCGCGAGCTGCAGACAGAAGAGAGGAAGAAATGCACGTCTGGTTTAATAATCAGCAGCACACATGAAGCACTCAGTGACCCTTCTCTTGGAAGGACCTTCATTTGGGTGTGATTCACTGCAATTCATTTAAATAGCTCAGTAGCATATCATGTATGAATTTGGAAAAAACATTTGGAAACAGTCATTAGTTTTGCAGTCCTATCTGCTGTGTGCAGAAACATTAATGTACATATCTATGCTGTTCTATACTGATTTCCATACAGTCATGAATAGACATTCAGTGTGCAGTAATTATAGCCGTTATAATTATTATATGTTGATGAACTCTCACGAAGATGACGAGGAAGGTTTAACAGTCTTTAATTAGCCCTCCCCCTCACTCTCACACACACACACACACACACACACACACA